GTTCCAAATCAAACATGTTTGATTTTGAACCGATGAGCCGATGAGCCGATGAGCCGATTTTAAGGCCGCCGCACACCTACATCGCTTCATCGCTTCATCGCTTCATCGCTTCATCGCTTCATCGCTTCATCGCTTCATCGCTTCATCGCTTCATCGTTTGTAAAATCGGCTGGTGTGCGGCGGCCTTTAGACATGAGAGCAGGGTGTAACTACTCACTGGTCGCTGTCCAACTCATGCTTGTCGAATAACTGGGGTAGCACCTTGCGTGGGGCCACAGGACTGCGACCAGGACGTGGGCTCGACCGGCCTGCAGCAGCCAGTTTACCCGACTCTGTACTCACCGAGGTCACCTGAAAACAAAGCGTCGTACCCATGGGAATAATTAGACAGTGGAAATCCGAGGTGGTGTATGAATTTATCAGCCATGTTTGACGTGATTTGCACGAAGCTAAACACTGAGAATTCACCGTCACAGTCGACGTCTTTGCCGCTGATATGTGCCAACATCGCAGAAGGTGACTGAACACGTTACACACGTTATTGCGAGTTGTGACTGTGAGTTTTGCTCATGCGTTGATACCTTTTTAATGGCCTCGGTTCGTTCGATCGCTTGTTCGGCAAGTCTTGTGAGCTTTGTCTGAATTTCTTTGTCTTCTGTTTGCTTTCTCTGTAATAATTTGAAGAAACATAGTTTAATAACCCTCCCGACTTTACAATGGCATACGACAAATATTATGCAAGCTAACACAAAACAGACCTACACCCTGTAGTGCCTACCCAGGCCACCTATTCAATTTTAATGTTAAAGACAAAACAGGAACACATTTTCAGAAACCTCATTAATGGTTATGTCTTCATCAGCAGGGGCTGGCACCAGAGAGAGGCAGGCTTAGTCCCCCCTACAAATCATGGAAGAAAATACGAACTTGTTTTTACAGGGGCATGGTCTTTAAACAAATTTGCAGTTGCTCTTCTTCTGTAGCATTGTACGAGTCACAGTAACTCATGAAAACCAATCAAAGAATGATTAATCTGTATATATAATATATTACAATATATCGAATTGGATTCCCTCTTTTTAGATAGGCTATGACCCCCTACTCGCAATGTGAGTTTAGCCCAGCAATCTCTGTTTCCATTCCTGATCATGTCTAAAATGTCATAAATTATGTTAGAGTTAGTGTTCTGCAAAAGTTATGACATGTTAGATATATGGAAGTCACGACTATTCGTGATGATTCTAAAGACAGGCCCCTGACTTTTTCTAGTGTTTGCCAATGCAGCGCAGGGTTATACTGCATCAAAACAGGCGTGTTACGGAGTAACAGTAGGGTTTAAACTTGCCGCGTTGATGCACAGTTCTGCAGCCTGCATGTACAGCTCTGCCGCATCGTCCACGTTGTTCTCCTCATCCTCGTCGAAGGCCTGAAGCAGTAGGAACTGCGCCCGTTCAAGGTCCAACTGATGCTGCGGCTTGCCACTTCCCTGCAGTTGCTGCAGGTTAGGCTGGAACACTGCAACGTAATTAATTTAATTAACCAAAAGTGCACAATCCATGTGCTTATCCGCCCTACTAAATGGCACGCCAGCTATCACCTCAAGCAAGCAATACGCTAAAGAGGAATTTCAGGAGATTGTCTCGCTCAGGCGACATCACACGTCTATCGCTCACATATACAGGGCTTGAGTCATAGGAAATATATCAAATCGCCCAGATTTTTAGGATTTTTAACTAGTTGAAAAACAATCTTATCAGGTAAGAATTTGAGGATACATTTAGTGCCATTAGTACTTACTTTTCATGTAAAAAAAATTGCAACAAAATTTTTACAAATATACACCATAGAAAATTCGTGATGTAGTCAATTTAACAATATTTACCACCCCTTCTGGAATGTGGTGCTGCATTGCCATGGCGAGCAGTTAGCTGTGTACAGGAGGAGAGTATGCATGGCTGGGTCTGTGTGGGTAGCAGATCCACAAAACAATCTTGATTTTAGATTATCTGAGATGCATTCCATGGCTTGCTACTTTGATAATGGGATTTCATTTAAATCGATATTACAAAGCCTGCTGAAATTTTGTGATAAAATTGATGTCTGAACACACAAATTTTATACTTGAATCAGATGGGATCAGTTACATCAGCACCAGCACTCGCCAGCAGGGCTGCAGTCAGCCAAGACATGCTACTAGCCCTTACAAATTTCTACTAGCCTCGAGTGAGCAGATGAGCATTTGTTTAAAGGCTGTGGCTACGCGTCTGGTTACCGGACGCCCAGCTCGCAGGCTACGCGTCCGGTCATATATTTCTTATGTGAACCCAACTATATTTTTTCAGTAAAAAACAACAAACAATAAGTTTTTACCCTACTATTACTTACCTCTACGTATTTTATCAAAAAATGTGTTTTTGTAACATTTGAAGCAATAGTAAATCCAATAAAATCAACGATTTGAAAGGGGACGTGGCCTAATCGTGACGTGGATTTGGGAATCTGTGCTGAGCTTTGTAATGGATGACCGGACGCGTAGCCACTGCGTTGTTTAAAAGCCCTGCGTATAGTACGTACACATCTGTTTGAGCATGCCCGCACGTTGCTGGTACTCATATGCCTTCGTTGCGATTCCAGGCGCGGTCGAACCAGCCTGCTCAGCTGCCTTCAACACCTTGGCTGCTTCCTACAAGAATGCCATTGCCTATATCAACTACATAATACGGCGCATACTTGTGTTAGCGGACGCCCGTAAAGAAATGCACCCGTCTATACAGGACAGTTTTGGCATTTCCTTTGAGTGATCCTTACGTAAGAGATCTGACTGTAATGTATAATAGCAACGTTTCTTTAAACTTGCAAATCGTTACAAAAATGATCTAGATATATTTACTGTAAAAAAACTTTCCGTTGAAATAACACATTTAAATCACTGTTAAACTGTATATTCATTCTGTTAGCAATTCCCCTTTCCTTCAACATTTTCCCTTCATGTTTGAATATTCACATCAATACTCCTGCACTATCGTTCTAATTTCAATGATCCAGATACAGTCGAGTGATTACATTTCTGAATAACTGTACTTTTCCATGATAAAACAAGCTATATGTGAGTGTATTGAAAGCAAAACTGTATAATTTGTTCAAATCACATGTTATCAATACTATTAATTTCACACATACACACATTAAATACACAACATGTGTTATTTGCACTACGACCAATACTGCAACCATCCTAATGGTTAATCTATCTAAATGACTTTTTTACTTCAAATGTCTCTTATTCCTTACCTACCGAGTAAAAATATGCCGCAGCATCAAATTTTCCCTGCTGGTCAAACCAGACAGCTTGCTGTGCAAGATTGAGGGCATCTTGCTCTAGTTCAGCAGACATCTGCAACATATAAAACATATCAGGATAATTGTAGGAGCACATCAAACGTGTAAAAATATAGTGAGCTTCAACACTTTATGACTGTATTTTTAACCAAAAATTATAACCAATCATAATTAGGCCAGAATTGTTATTTATTATAGAATAGATACGGAAAAGTTCGGGCACAACAGAAAAATAGTAATATTACAACAATGCAACATTCACATTTCACACGTGTCTTGCTTCAGTAACCAACTAACCACAACTCTGCAAATTGCATTCTACTCTGAAGAATTGTGGACTAATGAATTCTATTGGTCTATTGGTTAACTTTTAACTTTTCACAAGTTGATATGGAAAGTTGGAGACACAAAGGGTTAAATTCCCTTCTAGGTTTTTATTTATTACTATTACAATTACTATAATTATGTATTATACATTTCACTACTATTTATTAATTAATTCATTTATTAATTGTTTCTGAATTTTACAGCAGACTCATAGTTTAAGAAAATAAGTTGTAGAGGTTGTGGTTATTACAGTTGCTGTGGTGATGTAACAGTTCTTGTTATAGTTACAGTCTTAGGTATAGTCGTGGTTATTGTTGTTGTTAATTATAGTTATGGTGATTAAATGTACAACATGATACAGCTAGAATTCTCGATCATTTTCACTTAGCCAAAGCAGCATGCATTTAGGAACTGCCAAAGCATGAGGCGCATTTTTCTGGGCAAATGCACTAGCCGTGTTTGCATTCTTGATCAACTCAAAATTATAAAGAAATACAGAGTACAGTGAATGAATGCTGGTGCATAACGTAGTAGGCAAGATAGAGTAAGATTCATGATTCAATCAAAATAAATACCAAAAAAGACAAGATGCAATAGGCGCAGCCACCTTTTGTTTAAAGGCATACTAGGCCCATTAATTATGCAATGTTGACAAATGCTAGAGTAACTGGCACCTACCTGGTAGAGTAATAACCTTATAGCCAAACGCGTATTAGTTTGTCCAATATGACTGCTGGTTACATTACAAGCAAGACTTGAAATCGGTTGTTGATATTCATTTACGTGCCGTAAATGTCATCCAGGAGTCAAGCGATGACGTAAACATTTGTGCGGCCCGTATGTTTTGGATGCCAGATCAAATGGAGAGGTCAGCGGTGTAACCACTGCCACGGACTATACATGGAAATGGAGTAAAACACGGACTATTCACGGACGCACATGGACAGCCCTCACAAAAAGTTCCTTATCATGAGCGTCCGTGTTTACGAAATCACTGATGATAGCATTGCATACGGCCGAGCAAATGTCCAGTTCACTATAAATCTCTATCACACCCACTTCGCCGGCAGCGGTTTGAAACTGTAAACAACTGATTTCTTGGACTGCGGATTTCAATTAGACATTTCTTAGTAACCAGATGAGAGACCGGATACCAGAGAAGCATCGCCTGAGAGGTGTTGATCCTGCCCGCTAAGCGCGAATCTTGCGCGCAATTCCGCGGCAAGGCGCACGCGACCGCGGGAACGTCCTACGAAAGTATCACGCGCTGGCAGCTTCTGATCCGTGCGCCAAATCGAAAGGCCGGCGCACGGATCAATTGCTGCCAGCGAACAGTCTCGAATTTTAGCGGGTCTAATTCACTAGCAAACATATGCACACACCATCGCGCAGGCCTAATAGCGATGTTTCACGTGACGTCATAGATCAGGTCACGTGTATTTGTTATGTGGTTGGCAGACGCGAAGCGTGCTGCTTGACATTTACAGATGAATGACCACATGTTCTGATAGAAAGCCAGCTGTTTATGTAGCTGCCCGTACACTGCGTGCTGCGTGCGTGCCTGTTGCGGCGCGTGCGTGCGGACGTACATGTGCGTGCATGCGTTGCGTCTGCGAACTTACACGTGCGTGCAGGCGCGAGCAGCGAGCTTTCCCTGACTAGCGAGCTGGCTCCGCGCTGTGTATCCTTGCGTCAGGAAGGGGGCCAGCAAGCGGTGTGATCATCGTCCTGAGCTGTGTATCCTTGCAGTAGACTTCAAGACCGGCACCTGAGCTCCGCTTACACCCTACATGGGTCAGCTTAGCAGCTGTCCGGGACAATTTAAGCTGCCGCAAGCTTTAGCGAGCAGTGGGAGGTGCGGAGCTTCCCTGACTGAGCCAAGCTGGCTCTGTGTGCTTTGCCGAGCTGGGACGCCGAGCTTAATATACAAGCGTGCGGACACACGCTGCGTTACAGTCATGTGGACCCCATCAGTGTGACCTTGCAGGTGTCGCAGTTCAATTAAACTATAGGTCAAGTGGTGCAGCAAGGTTTTTTCCTTTCCAATCCGCTGCTAGCCCAATGTATGGGCTGACGAAGCCGTACGTCTTCAAGTTCGAAGTAATTGCTGACGGCATGCCTAGCTATAGTGAATATGTTGTTACAGACGCGATCGAATTCGCTACACATGAAACCATCGCCTCATTGCATGAGAATCACTGAGAACTGCTCCGTCATCACGCGACAACGGCGAAAATATACAGCTGTGCCTGTATCAGCTCCCAATCACCATGGGAGTGCTGCCGCGCAAGCATGAGTGTGTGCGTGCGGTTCCTGTGCACGTACACGTGCGTGTCACGTGCGTCCGTTGTGTGCACGTACACGTGCGGTGCGTCGCGTCCGTGTGTGTGCACGTACACTGTCGCTGCAATGTCCGTGTGTAGTGCACGTACACGTGCGTGCGTGGCGGTCCTGTGTGTGCACGTACACGTGCCTGCGTGCACAGTGCTACCTGGTCGCAGCCGCGTGTGCATGTGCATTGTATACATGCGTGCGCACGTACACGTGCGTGCATGAGTGTGTGCGCTGGGTGTGCACGTACACGTGCGGGTGCCTGGTGCGAGAGTGCGTACGCGACATAGTGCGTGCTGTGCGTGCGTGTGAACTTACAGCTGCACTGTGCCGTTGCCGTCCGGTGTGTGTGCACGTACACGGGCATGCGTGCGCGGCGTGTGAAGGTACATCTGTTTGTGCGTGACTCGTGCGTTGCCGTGCGTGTGCAGGTACACTGTGTGTGCATAGGTGCGTTGCGTTAGTTCGCTTGTGTGTAGCCGTTACACGTGCGTGCCCGCCACAACCACGTGAGTGGCCAATGCGTAGCATAGCATGAGTCGTGTGTGTGCACGTACACGTCCAGTGACCTGCCGTCGCGGCCGTGGCGTGCGTACCGTACACATCGCGGTGCGTTGCGCTTGTATCGAACAATAATCACGCATCTGCTTTGACTACCAACCGCTAATATGGCATAAACAGAAAAATACAGAAAACAAGAAAATAATTAAAAAACAGACGCGGATTCGATTCCAACGACATTTCACGCAGTTGTCGTCTCTGCTTCGATGCGTTCAGCATATCGAGGCATTGCGGGTTTGTGTTATGGATCGTGCTGAATACCACTGGCGGTGTCATTGAGGAGTTTGAAGGCACGTGATTTTGTATCAACCAATGGGATTTGCCGATAGGGCATCTGTCACGAGTGATAAACATCTGTGAAGTTCGGCATGCGAGTGGCGCGTAGTCTTGAGCGTAATTAGGTTTATTGTCTTTTATTATTAGATTTTTCGTTGACATCACTGTGCGCTTTTTAGATGCCAACAATTTTCAACGATGTTACAGATTGACATGCTATACCAGCTAAACGCTGTGTCAAGATCAGTCACTGTTGCCCACGATTTCAGACTAAGCGAATTCCCATTGAATTCCCATAATGTAATCCCTGTTTCTGATTTAATGGCCAACAGGCGGGTGAGCGTGCCGCTGCAAATCTTGAACTGACACCTCGGTGAAAGACGGGCCATTCACGGCTGGCGCCACACTAGTCCAGCAGTGATATTGACAAACTAATACGCATTTGATTTGTAAGGTTATGTACTTATTAACTACACAAGGGCCAGTTACTCTAGCATTCAGTCAACATTTGCATAAATCAAATGCGGCCTAGTATATGGCTGAGAGGCGTCTAATGTCCCCGGGGTACTGCCGGAACGTGACCTGGGTACGGTCCGTATAACCGAAACGTACCCTGGTACTTATCTAATATGCCGGAACCGTACCTCGTCTACTCCACTAACGAGTCTAGGGAGTCGCCTACGCCTACTCCCTAACCCGAACCCGAACCCGAACCTTAACCCTAACCCTAATCCTAACCCTAACCATATAAAATAGTGACCAGGGTACGTTCCGGTATACCGGACCGTACTCAGGGTACTTTCCGGCAGTACACTGGGAGACATAGACCCTATGAGCCCTAGTATGCCTTTAAGCAATGCATCATAGTTTATACTGGAAAGCACAAAACACTCTAGCTGTACTTAAACACAAGCAAATATTTGTCACCCACAAAAGGTGCCTACAGGGAAGTTACAAGCATTCAGCAACAGAACTGAAGTTCCCATCTGGAGCAGAAAGCACAGTGTGCAGAATACACAATACTTACAATGACACGACCAATTTGTGCGCTGACCAGTTACCAGTAGTCTTCTGTCAGCAGATCTGTGGAGTAAAAAGTGGTAACAAACACATCTCACATGCAAAGGTTTCAGACTATTACTACTAGTACTAGTAGTAGTGGTAGTAGTACTGGTACAAATTCAAAAGTACGATTGCAAAGGTATGCAATCGTAACTTGAGGTTGGCGAGTTGAAACGGAATTCTCTGCAGTGCGTCTGCATCTAGAGAGATGATTTTAATAAGTTGGCAACCTTAATAAATCATCTATTTCAATAATTAGTCAAAGCTTTTTCAAACTGCTTTGGTTACAGCTCCTAAATATTTCTAGTTATACTCTGTAGAACCACATTTAATGCTGGTAAATTGATCACTGTTCACACACTGATGCAGACTGCCACACACAGTGCTACTCAGGAATGTTCTTATTACTCTGTTTTATTTTTACCACCAATATTACTAATAATACTATTAGGCACATACATGTATGGAAGTTGTTGCATCATTAAATTATAATGTACTTGCATCTCTTATATAAGCATACGTAGACACTATAACAATAAAAGTATCAGTGGCAGTCCTGGATCCGGGAGTTTGGGACCCCGCAAATGTGTTTTCGCATAATGTGCTAAACTAATCTGAGGTGCTAAACTAGGCTTGGGCCGTAGCCCCCTGTAGCGGAAGCGAAGGGACCACCATGGTACTGGTAGGGCTAGGTCCACAGTACCCTGACCAGGCTATTTTTTATTATTATTTTTATCGAGACATTCCAAGGGTTTATTCCCAGTTGGCCTACTCCCATTTCGCCTACGGCAAAATTCCCATTTCGCCTACAGCAAAATTCCCAGTTGGCCTACACTCATTTCGCCTACTCCCAATTCGTCTACTCTCAAAATCAATTTTTTATTTTTATTTATTTAGGCAATTATCCATCATATACAATACATTGCATACTTTTACAATAAAAAGGCTAATGGCCAATGGCTATGCGTCCGGAACCAGTCGCCTAGCCTCCAGGCTACCTACTATTTCGGACTTGGGAGACGCGCTGTCCCTAGTGGCAGTGCCACTGGCAGTGGCATCCGGCTCGGACGACTGTCCTGAGTACTGTGACTGGTACAGTAACTTAGTTAACTGTCTGTGTCTGTGGACCGGGACTGAAGTCTCAAGGAGCTAGTTTCTTGGACTTATAATAGCCTCCAAGAAACATTCATACATTGAAAGACCTGCCTTAGTACTACTACAAAAATAGTACCTATTTACGTTAGTTTCGAAGCCTAGTCGGATTTTAATAACACACATACCAGAAGTCCAGAACCAGAGACACATGCGTGCTCACTTGTTTGTTATCAATGCGCCCCACATTCACTAGACTGGTACCCGGTCCCACCTATCGGCTTAGGGTTAGGGGTTAGGGTTAGGGTTAGGGTCTCCCATCGAGTAATCGAGGTGGGAGCGAGTACCAGTCTACACACTCACGTACCGGTGTCGCGCAAAATATCTGACGTGTGCGAAATATCTGAGATAGAATGCGTATGCGCATGCGTGCCGACCCGACCAATGACAGCTCGTCTTTGTGTTACGATAGGTTGTTACACCACTGATCTCTA